AGTAGATGGAATGATTAATGATGAGCGAATTCAGACCCCACACCCACTCCTTTGGAACGATTCATTCAGCGAAGCGAGTTGATTAGCCTGTCCGGTAATGAATGGCTACGAGCCGCCAGGACCAAATGTCAGGGACGATTCACGCGGATGCCGTCTCTTTTCGTCTGGAACGAAGCGGAAGTACCCCTGTACCGGCCCTGTCCTTGGAAACATGACCGTTTGTGACGAGCAGAGAGATGTGTCAGGGGGGCCGCGCATTTGGCCGCAGATGGCATTTCGTTGCTTCTTGGGCCTTGCATATAGCATACGGCTCATGCAGGCGGCATGGTGCATGTACAGCAAGGACACGTCCCGCCAGCGGTACTGTGCTGAGCTTACAGCACTGGGGATCGACCAGGGATCAGATCAAACAACATATCATGTATCATCTTGCAATGACGGTACGGGTACTCTTGTTGTAGTTTCGGCAACGCAGGGAGAGAGGCAGACAGGCAGGGCATGATATCGTAACGACCAGCGCCAGCCAACGCTGGACAGCAGGCAGAAACCACCGACAGTCGGCCGCGCCCGGTCTGTTTGTGAGACGTGTTGGAAGGCGTGCATTATCACACCAATCGTTTCTTATGACGGGTTTGCGAGCCTGGTGTTTGAGCAGTCGGCCAAGTGCCCGCAAACGGGAGTCCCGCGACCAGAGTGAAAAGAAGAAATGAAGAAGAAAAAGGGGTGTGAAGGGGGATAGAATGAGCTCTCCAAGAGGCGACGATAGACGACAATACGAAGAAGAAATGAGACGGCGCAAAAAGGCGTGGATGGCAGACCATTGAGGGTGGAGATGGTATGAATGGAGGGGGCCTTTGGAGTGAATCTCAATCTTTTCCAGGATGCCAATGTCCCTTTCCGCTGGCCCCATCCATGTCATCAATAGTGACCGTGTGACGGGCACCTGGAGCTGGAGCCAGCGGCCGCTAGGGGGGAGGGGGGAGGGCCTTGTTGCCATGGGTGGTGGGCGATTATTTCCAATCCGTAAGGTTGATGGGCAGGGAACATTACATCGGAATCGATAGTGATGTGGGGAAGGCGGTCGAGGCGTTGCAAAACGAAACAACGGGCGAGCGAACAAGCGTACCAGTACTCTGTGCGATGGATGGATGGATGGATGGATGGATGGATGGATGGTGAGAGAGATGCTGTGGTAGGTGTAACGTACACTAGTGGAAGAACGTCGATTGTCTACTCTTTGGGGCAAAGGTCATCTTCACCGGCCAGCTGCCAGGTGCTTTTGTTCCTAGCTGCCCAAGCAAGGCACGGCCAACGCACCCCACCCTGCCAGGGACTCTGGAGATCTCTGACGGTGGTTGATGAGGGAGGTTAGGCACACGGCGGCGATACGCTACCGGTGGGAACGCCTCCCGTCCACGGTGAGCTGGGATGTACGCAACATGTGGCGTGGCTATCCATCCCTTTTGCTGGTGGCCCACTGATGGGAGCGAACCCAGGCGTCTTCGCTGCCATGCCCCAACGAGGCTGCTTATCCGATGTCCGTCCAGAAGCAGCAGCAGCCGTGGTGGCTACGCGTGAAAGGCGTTCCAGGAGGTCGGGAACCAGGGCTTGCATGGCATGGCATGGCATGGCATGGCATGGCGTGGCGTGGCCTGGACGAGGATCTTGAGATGCAGCGGGCGGGATCAGAAGAAGGTGGTGAGTGGTGGCATGGGCATGGCCAGCCCGCCCGAGCAGACCAACCCACACTCGCTTCGATGTGATGCGTGCAATACGTTCCCGCGATGCGAATGTGGATACGGCATGCGTCTTGGTGTGGACCTCGACCGGACAGGCCACAGACCAAACCATCCATCTGTCCGTCTGCTGGCCCCGCGTCGTGGTGGTGGTGTGGTAATTAGGTAGTGATGACTTGGGGGGGGGGTTGAAGTTTTCGCACGTCGACTGACCGCCTTTGACGGTTGCTCTGTACATACCTGGTTTGGTATGTCTGTATCCGTAGGGCTACCATGTCATGTCGCGAGTGATGGCAGAGCACAACTCGCAGTCAGCCTCCTGCTGTCCCTGCGGGTTTGGGGGATTCCAGCGAGTTACGGCGGGAGCAGAAGAAGGCAAACATGTCAGCAAGGCGGGGTTTGTGCCCGTTAAGCGCCAACTGCACCGATGTGCTGTCAAGGAATCGGCGGTGCATGAGAGTCGTCACGGTCGTTCGTCGAGTCGACGTGCGTGGCACCAAACCTGGTACCCGAACTGCCTGCAAGGCGGGAGAGGGATGGATACGTGACTAGTCGGTTTCCAATGAGCGTGAGGTACACGTACATACCATGTACATTGGCGGACCACCCAGATCAAGATAGCCGCGGCCGACTGGAGCCAGTGTATCGTCTACCGTGATGTCGTAGCGTGCACATAGTGTACGGATGGATAGTGCTGTGTAAAGTTCGCTTGTCGCGGAAGAGATGGATGGATGAGACGTGATCGACTTTGGCGAGTCCCGGTCGTCTTCTCGAAAAGACGGTGACGGTGACGTTTGAGCAGGCCAGGGAAGTTTCCGCCTTCCCCGAGAGGAGACAGAGAAACGTTTGTTCATACCTAAGGTAGTGTACCTAGGTACTCCGTAGCTGGGATGACATGGGCTAAGATGGCAGGGATGCAGCTACTGCGTACGATGTAGTCTAGCGTAGGTGGTGGTGATTCTTGAACAAACCCCCAGCTGCTCGCTACTAGTCCAGTAGCCAGCGGTGGAGCAAGGAGACCAGCAGGGTGTCGTGGTACATATCCGTACAGAGGATACACTATGGGAAGGACTGAGACGACAAGAGGGAAGAGGTTCCGTCGAGAAGATGTCGAGGAAGCAAATAAGGTACCGAAATGGCCCAAAAGGGAGCAAGAGAGGGTACCTACAGTACAGTATGCAGTAGTGCAGGGTTGGTGATGTGTCAGGGACAGGGGATGAAGAGGTCGGCGGAGTGGGTGCGCCATGGGTGCCCAATATCCAGATGGACTGGGCCGTGTGTAGGTACCAATCGTAGGAGACGGCCGCGATGTGGTGCGGGTCTGTCTGTCTTTCTGCTTGCTTGCTTGCTTGCTTGTGCCGAGCTGTGCCGTGCTGAGCTGCGATGAGCTGTGCTGTGCTGAGCTGAGCTGTGCTGTGCTGTGCTGTGCTGTGCTATGCATCACATCGCATCGCATCGCGCAGTGTGCAGGATGGGGCTGGCTTGGGCCATCTTGCAACGGTGGTGGTGGTGGTGTTCGTTTGTTCCGAGTGAGAGTCAGCGAATCTTTGCTTTTGTTGGCGAAATGAGCATGGGATGCCGTTCCAAGACAAAGTAAGTAAGCCGCGTCAGGAGAATAGCCAAGCAACGACGTAGTTTGGCTTGGCCGTTGGAAGTGAGGCGTATGAGCTGAAGGTTCACGGCGTTGATCTTTAGGATGAAGGCGGAGAATCTCGGAGGGTTTGGTGTGAACCAGACAAATGACTAGTTGAGGACATGGCCCCTCCCCTCCCCGGTCCAATGGTGGTCGCAAGCCATGAGAGGAGGAAAGTTGAAGAAAGGGAAAGGGAAAGAGAGAGAGAGAGAGAGAGTGTGTGTGTGTGTGTGTGAGAGAGAGAGAGAGTGTGTGCGTGTGTGAGTGCGTGAGTGAGTGAGTGAGAGAGTATGAGATTGTGTGTGCGTGTGTGTAAGATGAAGGTGGACGGAGATGAGAGTACCTACACCCACCGAACCAACGGCCAACGGCATGACGCTCACTCGGCTGCCATTGCTGTCACCCTTCACCTCACTCAATCTCAGTCAGCCAGCGAGCCCTCGGATCCATCCTCCCATCCTTCTATCCATTTATCCTCGTCCGTTCACCTCCTTCCCGCCCCCAACCCCAAGTCGCTTTATCCTGGCGTTGCCCTACGACGTGATGCTTGCAAGTTCTGCCGGTGCGCCCCCCTCCCTCCCCCCCCCTCATCTTAGGAAATTCCGTCATCAAATAAACTTCCTTAACCCACGGCACTCCGTGCTACACTCCCTACCTCTCCCCGATTACAAAAAAAAAAAAGAAAGAAAAAAAGAGAAAAAAAGACGACAACTCCCAAGTCATCCACTCTCGACTTGAGACCGGATACGGGTGTGCGGAGAACGCCACGGCTGCCCAAGCTCTCGGAAGGGAAGGGTCCAAGAAGGTATAGCAGCAGCCAGTACGGATAGAAGACGAAGCCGTCACACTTTAATGCCACCAATGGCTTGAACCATTCATTGTTATCCAAGTATCCGTATATGTACACTAGACTCTGCTCAGACTCTGGTTCGGTTCCGGATGGGCACATTACCCCCACTCATTGCCCCTCAGACTCCGAGTGACACACAGGGCTGGCTGTTCAGCGAACTTTTTTATTTTTATTTTTTTGGCCGCCGCCGTTGTTAGTGATGGGGCAGAATCCCGCTTCGGAACAGGTGAGTGTGTGAATGAGTGAGTGAGTGCCTCGGGCTTCAAGGTGCTGGCAGATGGGCAAACATGTCTCGACGATGAGGTCAATAGATGGAACCGTAGCCCACCTCTGCTGAATGAGGACTGACTGAGCGAGAAAAGGGCAGCGACTTCACCTCTCTGCATCCTGTGAAAGGAAGGGGGAATAATGCAAAACTCCCCAACATCCAAATACCTGGCTGGCTGGGTTGGAACATTTCCTCCCCTGCTCGGTGAGTGTGGGTACCAGAAACAGAAACATGCCGACGGGTGCTGCGCTAGGTGAAGGTACTCTTCGGCGTCAGTTGCTGCATGTATCGTTGCGTCAAGTCCAGATGTCTCGAGTACGGATACTTCGGACAGCTTAGGGGGGGGGGGGGGTGTGATGAATGTATTGGCCACTCTCCCGGTTTGGTTTTCTCATCGACCTTGGCCATGATTTCTTCTGGGCCTGCTTAGCTCCAGTTCCTCGCTCTCGGGTGTCCTCATCTGCAATACAAACTATTATACAAACTACCCATAGATGATTTGCCCTAGTGTGCATGCAGGCCGTGTCAGGCAGGCATGTTTCCCGTCGCAAGCGCCGGCCGCCACCGCCGGCACTGTCAACGTCGAGCGACCTTTTGGCGTCTGAAACATCCGACTCAAGCACAACTTCACAACGTCTAGTCCAGCCAGCCGACTTCCGCAACGAGCCCGATGAGGAACTCGTCTTTGACAACACCATTCGCCCCGCCCCCGTTGCATGCCGCCGAGATGGGGCGGCGTCACTTACCAAAGTACCAAAGTCTCTCGCCCGTCCAACGAGACGGTTCCTGGCCCTTGTTCTTGACATCCGCCACTTTGGCTAGCTACCTTGACGAATGAATGCCTATCAAAGGCATGCATGATGCAACCGACGCCCTGTTGGCCGGCTCGTCTCGTAATGTATCTATGTACAGTATGTAGCCGACTTGTGCGAAGCCGCTGCTGAAGGTTTCCCACCCCGCCCGCCCCTGGCCTGACCACCCATGCGAACCAGGGCAGTCCAAACGCCGCCGTTGTTCGGACGGGAATTTGAATCGACATGGCCCTGCCGTTATGCTAGACATTGATGCCTCACCTCCCAGTTCTCGGTTCTCCGGCTTTCCGGTTCCGACTTTGTCTACTACTAACAGTGTAGGGGCTTGTCAATCGACATCCTCGAGGCTCAACCAAACCACCATGCCGATTTGTGCCGACACAACTAGCGTACCCAAGGTAGTCTGCATAACCACTCCAACAATCATGGAATTCTCAACCAGCTCGCATGGCGCCAGCCGGTCTTCTCTCAAAGCCAATGACCCGGCTGGGCTCATATGAAAGAGGACTGAATGCGGCCCGGGTGCCGCTATTGTCGTCGACCTTTTATGGATACAACACACGGTAAGATTGACCGCCGCCACCGAGGCCGGTGGATGTGCACAGTGGCGGCGGTCTGCCTATCCTTCACATAGTGTATCCGTACACATAACCTACAAGCAGTTTACAAAGTACAACACAAGGCCGCATTGAACCCGCAGCGGGCAGGCGGCTTTGGGACGAAAGAGAGAGAGTGGGCGCGCGGAAGGGAGAGAAGGGGAGAGAGAGAGAGAGAGAGAGAGAGGGACAGGGAAAAAAAAGTGTTTGACTGGGATCCGTGGTCCTGGACATTCGACGCTACTCGCCCACACCGCACCACACCACACCACGGATTACAGATATTGATGCAACACAGGCAGCTCTATACCTTGTCAGCTCGCCCACCCACCACCTCACCTTGGGTCTCCACGAACCACGCTAGCCGGCAAGTCGCCTAGTGCCCAGGCAGACTAGCTTCCATGAGCCTGGTCCCAGGACGTCGTCGTCTTCGGGGACGCACGCAGGGACCCCCGAATACCGGCCGGTTTAGATTTTCGTCCCTCTCATGCTCCACCGACCGAGATGACAGGGAAATGTCCAGCAGCATCCCGCGGCTCTCTCCCTCCTCCTCCCCCTCCTTACCTCACTCAGTCGCTCTCCCAAAGCCAGTGTCGGTCTGAATAGCGGTGTTGAAAGGCGAGCGCCCCCCCCCCCCCCCCGATTCCTGCATTATGCATAAAGACCCCTTCCTGGGACCCAAGAGCAATGCCTCGGTCTCCATTTAGGCATATCTGACTGTTGCTGACAACAACCGGCCCAGTGAGTGATTCCTCATACACCTCGCACACCCCACATGCGAACCCATCTGGTGCTGCGAGACGAGACGGTGAGGCACGCACGCAATGAGCTTCGTGGAGTGCCTGATGTGCCATCATCCCTGCCGGCAACGGAAACTCCCTAACGAACGAAATAACGGTTGCGGAGCGCGTCGTCATCTCGCGGTAGTGTATCCGTACCGTACCTGTCTATCTGTCTGTCTGTTTGTCTTCGTGACAGACCACATCCGTAACGTCTCGGCCGAGCAGACTTTGCTGGTGAGTTTTGTTTATTTGTTCCCGCCCTCCCCGAACGGTGCGATGGACGGATGGACGGATGGACGGAGGAGTTGTGCAGATTGTCCCTCCCTCCCTCCAGTGGCTACGAAGCATCGCCGGCCAACTGCTGCTCGTCATCACTGGGAGGAGGGCCGAGGCGTCACGAGCAAGCACCATCCCGGTGCGCTCACTGCTTGTTCCGAGATGGCTCGCGCCAGACGAGGAGCTTCTTGGCTCTGTACGGCAAAGCATGGCTAACCCTCCCTCTTGGGGTAAAAGGGTATTCCTGGGCGCCATGTCACAAGAAGCAAGGAATAATAATGATGATAATAATAATAATAAAAATAAAAATAAATAAAAGGCAAACTTCCCAAGCTCAAGGTCCCAGTCAAAGCAAGACGAGACAGACGGACAGACGGCGGGCGAGAGAGAGAGAGAGAGAGAGAGAGAGGGCTCCTGGTACGTAGCGTGGTGGTGTCAGCAGGGATCTTGTACCGTGACTTGTCTCTGGACCCGAATGAGAAGCACTGGTCGACTAAGCCCTGTCATTGTCTGAGCACCTTATGGCGCCGAGGCTGGGGATACCCCCCTGGTGTTTCCCTTGTTGTTCCCACGTAACCCCGGCCAGCCAAACTTCCACCACAACAACCCAACAGCTTCAACCTACCTTACCTACTACCTTTACCTACCTACTTACGGTATGTGCCCATATGGACCATATCCATGTCGCCGTTCATCCTCCTCTGGCTCCTCCCCATTCTCCTCCACCTCCACCACACCCCCATGCATCTTAAGCTCGTCGGCTCCCCGGCCAGTTGCCGGGGTTCGATAAGAACGCTATGCCGCCATGGAACAACTACGCTAGGGCAACTTTGAGTGAGGAAGGAAGAAAGAAAGAAAGAAAGAAAGAAAGGAACCAAAGTAAGAAAAATCAAATAGACCTGGTTCCTCCCCGACCTTGTCTGATCTGATAGCCTCTGTCGTGTGATGAAGAACCGTTACATTCGAGCGTACTAAGCCTACGAGCGAGCATCCTCATCATCAGTCACTTTCCACTTAACCTACCTACTCAACCGCTCCGTCCCATTTCTTGGTTAACCATACCTACCCTGCCAAGGTTTTGCGAACACTCGCGGAGAGTGACAGAGAGAGGAGACCACCACCACCTCCACCACACCTCCTCCACCACCACAGCCAGGGTTCGTTCACTACTTCAATAACAGAACCCGACGACTTATCTCGCCTCGGCGTTACCTGGTCCTCGCTCTACGACTAAACATCTCAAACATCTCAAACACGCCGCCCGCTGACGACCTGTTTCGATCCAACGCCTTTCCGAACCATACCAAACCCAACTTTGACGCGGAATCCATTTCAAGCCCGGCACGTCTTCCCTGGCGGCTGTCTCTGGTGAGTAGATCCGCTCCTCTGCCATTCATTGCCCGGGAATCGGTTCGAGGGCCTTGAGTGGCCCGTTCTGCCTGCACTTATTCCACACACCCTGCCACCCGCATCTAACCCCGATTAGCACAGCCAACCTCCGTCAACTCTTTTACCTTCCACACACAGTCTTCCCGTGGCCATCCAAGAACTTCCCTCCTTCTCTCTCTCTCTCTCTCTCCCTGCAACGACCTATCGTCACCGTCCCCCATCTGGCATCATCGACATCCGGGACGTCGTCTTGCCTCCATCGACACAAAAGACGTCAGCCTCACTCACCCTCTGGGGCGGTTTCCGAGCCCTTCCATTCCACCTTGCCAGCCTGTCCAAGTCGACTCCGTCCAGCTCTGGGACCTTCACGACTCCCACCAAAGCGGCTCCTCTTGTGGCCGTCGGCGAAGCTTTGAGCCTGAATTCCTGACCCCCGTCTTCACGTCTATAGCTCGGGACTGTTGGCTTCGACCCAGTTAGTCCCACCTAAGCCGACAACCTGGCGGTCTCAGCAGGTGTCCGGTTTTCTGGACAAAACCCTCAGCGCGGCCGTGAGGCTAGAGAGGGTGACAACGCACAGACGAGCTTCCTGACTACACCCCGACAGTCTGGGCCCGACAGCGCGCAAGCATCCGAGCAACCGGCCCCGGTCCCAAATCCGGACTTCCGTTCGGCTTCAAGTGCTGGCCAGGACGGCCAATGCCCGGGCCCTCAAGGCCGGGAGAGTGTAGGGGACCAGGTCTCGATGTCACAGAGGGGACCTGCATCTCACACTACTACTACCACCACCACCACCACCACGCAAGCACAAACGCAGTCACCGCCTCGAGCCCCCTTCACCTCTCAGCAGAATCCTCAAGCTCAAGGTAGCCCGGGGTCTCAAGATGTTGCCACCACTCCGTCCGTAGCTGGCGAGAGGCACCCTTTTGCCCCGCGGTCGTTGGGCATCAGGGGATTGATCAATGAAGCACAATCGGAAGGCTCCGCCGGCGAGATGTCACAGCCCCGAGTGGTTGACCCCCAAACCTCGCCCTACGGTATGCCCCCGAGGCAGTACAGCACGCCTGGCGACCGCCAGTACACGTACCATAGCCACGGGCCTTTGGGATCCCAGCCCGGCACACCGGCCGGCCACCCGATAACAACGCCTCTGGGCCACACGCCGTCAGAGCACAACTCACCCAAGAGCGGCTTCCCGTTCCCACCCATGGGTGCTCCGAGGCAGATACCCAGCCCCAGGGAGACCCGAGCCGCGAGCATGAGCCAGGCGGCCATGAGGGCCCCGGAGCCACACCAAACCCATTTCATGCCTCCGCGGGCAAAGCGGCCCTATCCGGGCGACGACGGTCCCTCGGAACCATACCGCACAGCGCCCGGCCACCCGTTCTCCGGTCCGGCGGCACCTTCATCGGCGGGGATCGCATCGCTGACGACGCCGTCACGGTCCATGTCCCAGCCCATGATTGGGCACATGCCGCCCGGAAGCGCCGAACGACACCAACTGCCCCCCATGACGCGAGATGCCCACGGCAGGGGACCCGAGTACCAAGGCCAGCCGATGTTGCCGCCCAGCCAGGGCTTCCCTCCGCCCCAGTCGCCAGGCATTCCCGTCTGGTCCACGCCCGGCGCCGGGACGTCCCTATACCAAAGCCTGCGGTCCGACGTGACCAAGGCGGAAGGCGGGATGGTGGTCAGACTTCCGGGAGAGGAGGGCGGCATTCTCATACCCGTGGACGTTCACCAGGCCTCGAAACAGGCCGACGAGAAGCGGCAACGGAACGCCGGGGCCTCGGCGCGGTTCAGGCAGCGGAAGAAGGAGAGGGACCAGGAGCAGATTGCCAACCTGCAGAAGCTGGAGCAGAGGAGCCGCGATCTGGAGGCCAAACTCCGGGACATGACCCAGGAGAGGGACTTTTACAGGGACGAGCGGAACCGGCTGCGCGACGTGGTGCTGCGGACGCCGCTCAGCGACATGGCAAACGGGCCCCCGAGCCCGACGTCCTCGAGGAGCGGGGGATCGATGGCGGAGACGAGCCCGCTGACGCAGGCTCCCATGCTGCCCCATCAACTCCAGCAGCAGCAGCAGCAGCAGCACGGGTACGCGTCGAGCGAGGCGTCGTCCGTGGAACGGCCGGCGCGGCGGCGACGCACCGAATCGGCACAAACCCCCGAGTTTTCGATGCCGTCGTACGGCACTCCCGTCCCCCAGACCGGCAACCTGCCGCCCCTGCAGGCCCCCGCGTACGGGATGATGCCGCAGCGACCTCCGTCGACGACGCCGGGCGGGGAGAGGCTGCCACCCCTCCGGGTGATGGAGGGTTCCTATCCCGGATCGGACGTAGGGCCGAACGTCACCGCCGGGGGTGGCGCTCCCATGTACCCCAGCTACGCGCGTGTCCCCCACGAGACGGGGTTCGCGAGCAGGACCGCAGGTCCGCCGGGTCATCACGGCCACCACGGCCACGACGGCGGGCCGCGGTAAAAATATAACAAAAAACGCAAAGACGGGAAAGCAACAGGCACGACAGAAAAGGTGTTCATTGTTCAGGAGGGAGGGGAAGGGGGTTTGCTTGGTGGGACTCGGCTGCGCGTTTCTTTTTGGAATATTGAAATTCTTTTTTTTTATTACTCTTTACATCGACACTCGCTACCAAGCTTATACCCACTTCGTTTCGCCGTTCGAACTCGATCGCAGATATATATCACATACAAGATTATAATAGCAGCAAGACGGGAAGGGGGAGGGAAACAAACAAGGGGGGAGGGTTGAAGCGGATTTTCCGAAAATGGGACTTTGGGGTTTTGGCTACTTCAAAGAATCGCATAGTTGGGCGACCGACGCACCATGGTTCTTCTGTTTTTTTTATTGTTTTTTTTTGTGCCCTTGTCATATCATGGGAGTTTATCATAGGAGTTGGCTGCATGGGCACAGATGGGGGGGAAGCCTGCAAAGAAAGAGTAAACAGTAACAACAGAAAAGGGATGGAAGGGGGAGGGGGGCAGCCGTCTGGCCTGGAACCTCTCCCCATCTCCCCCCTTCCCGGACTGAGTCCGACCAAATCAACTTTTCCACAGCGTTGGATTTAATATCTCGACCAGTCTTTCTATTGTTGTTGTTGTTGTACCTTTTTGTTTTCACCCTCTTCGGGTTCTAGATAGGACCGTGTGTGTGTGTGTGTGTTTTGTCAACAGTCAGTTTTTCACTTCGATCAGTGCCTCCCTTCGAAGCAGCAGCCATCGGAGAACGGCCAAAGTAGAGACAAGATGGCAGGCTACGCGCTCGGATTAGTTTGGTCTGCAGACAGTTACTTGACAGACGTGCGTTGGGCGCGAAAAGCAAACGACAAATAGCGGGCTCGGGGCGCAACTTTGACTAGGCCTCTTAGGGGGAGGGGGGTCGGCGATGACGAGCCCATGGCGTGGGGGGTTGGAAGTGACAAGTGAGGCGGAGAGGGGCGTGTTGATACGAGTCCCCGGTCCGTCAATAAGTGTGTAGGTAAACGATCGCCAGCCAATGCCGGGGCGACGAGGATGTGTCTCGTCTTCCGCGGGATGGTGCCGGAGCAAGTCAGCCTATGTCACAAATGCAAGTCATTCATCCCATCCATTCATCATCGTCGGTCGTCGCCGTCGTTGTCCCGGGGGGTTGCCATGATCGGCTGCAGCGGCGAGGACCGGTGGCTGCTGTACCACCGAAAAAAGTGGCACACTGCCACGCTGCCGCTGGCAAGTTTCTAATAGTATAATGCGAGTGGGAAAGTGTCGGCAACGTGTCTCATGCTTTGACTGAGTCCCTGGGTTGTGAGTGCAGTTTGCGAGCTGGCAGAGCGTCGGCCACGTCACGCACGCACACGCGCTCGCCAGCACTTTTCTTGGGGCGGAAAGGACACAGTCCCGCGCTAGCCGATGAGAGAGATTCCAGACTCCCCGCCTCCTCGTAGGTAGGTACCTACACGTAGGTAGTATTTAGTGCCCCAGGCCAGGTAGGGGAGAGGGGGAGGAGCGCGTACAAGTTGCATCCATTTCTTATTTGGCAAGTCATACTGTGGCCTGAAGCAAGCAGTGTGTGCGTGATGTGTGCGCGTGTGTGTTTCCCGTCGGGCGCCCACGGCAAAATGCTAAATGATGTCTGGACAATGGAGGATGGTGGTGTGTCTCGGGCGGCATTGGTGCGCCCGGGCAGTGAAGAGCTTATTGCCCAACGGACGGGACAATCCGTCTCACCGTGTTGTGGTTCATGATGTTGGTGGTTTGTGTCTGAAGATAGTTCAGGGTCTGACAAAAAGAGACGGAAGTGGCGCTTAGGAGAAAATGGAGGGAAGGAGAGGAACGGTAGACGGTAGACGGGAGACGGGAAACGGCAGGTGGGGCGTGCGGCTGGGTGATCTCCCACTTTTATGTACATAATACTTGTATGGATGCCCCCTTCCCCCCTTAAGCTGGATAGTGGATAGGTACAGCAGTGGGAGGTGGGGATGGAGCAGTTGAATTTGACATTTTGGAATTTGATGCTTCGAGTTGGACGGTTGGCGTCCAAGCTGCAAGATGATGCATGTCCCGATCCATATCCACAGCTTGCAGCTTACCTTAGGCTCTCTCTGCCCGTTCCGTGTTTGAGACGCAGGCCGATCGGAGTGGCCCGCTGAATTCGGGAGGAGGTGATGTATGTCTCTAGCCGTTGGGTCAACGGAATGCTTCGAGCAGACAGACGGTGGCATTGATTCGCAAATCGATTGGGTTTGTGTTTGTGTGGTTTCTCCTCTTTGCTACTATTTCTGGGCACTTGATTCTCTGGTAGAAGAGGGGAGGGAGGGTCTTTGGCTCGCCGCAGTGGAGGCCGATATTGTCAGATATGACGGCTGAGCCAATAGACGGACAAAACGACAACAGCAAGACACGCCCGTTTGTAGTGTAGTCCGGATGATAACCTCATCATCACTCACGGCCGCTTGACTTGGCGCCGTCTCTTCTTGGTATAGTAATTATTTTTCAGTCATGTTTTATACCCAGGTAGGGTGGGAAAAGGGGTGTGGGGGGTTAGCACGCACCCCTTTGACAACTTCAACAACCCACACCCACCAGACCAGCCAGCGAACCGACCGTGTCGATAAGCTCTGGGGCTGCCTAGCTCTAGGGCTGCCTTGAGGTCTGGCTGCTCATACACTAGACTATCCACGAACTTCCTGAGCGAGCATCACTACCTAGGTACTTGGGTTATCGACGCAGCTTCTGCAACAACGGCGAATCAGTAGGTCGACAAGCTGCTCCGCAGCCGCGGCGGAGGTGTACGCAGTAAGGGATACCAACAGAAGCCAGGGGGGTTGGAAACATACACTAGAAAGAAAAGAGGGGCCGCCGTTGCCAGATAGGGAGGGAGGTACGATCGGGATCTGGGCCCAATCTAATATACCCCGCACCGCACCACGGGTCTTGCTTGCCCGAATCGGTTCCTTGCGGCACTTGCAGACGACCTCACGTCATAACTGCCTAGTCCCCCTCTCGTTCTTCGTGTCCTTGTGAACCATGTCCATCTCTGCCCGCCCTGTTGCATCCGACCTGGCCCGCCGCCACCTGAGCCTGGTCCTGGGCCTGCGTGTTGTGGCCGGGGTGACCCGACCATACTGCCGGACGACGCCGCCGAGGGTCCTCATCCCGTCCTCGGCCAATCGCGCTTTCGCAACGTCGCCCCGTCGCCGGACCACCAACACCACCACCACCGTCACCACCGAGCTGACGGCCCCGAACGGCAGGACATGGACGCAGCCCATCGGCCTCTTCATCAACAATGACTTTGTCCAGAGTTCCAACGCCCAGACCCTCCTAACCAGCAACCCATTGTGAGTGAGACTGCCGCCTGATCTCTTCCTCGTGCAAGACTGTCTGCTTACCCGACGTAGCACCGAAGAGGATATTTGCTCCGTCTATGCCGCCACGCCTGACGATGTCGACAGTGCCGTCGCTGCTGCGCGGGCCGCTTTCAACCACGCCTCGTGGAGGCGCCTCTCCGGCACTGACCGCGGGTACATGATGATGAAGCTTGCCGACCTTGTCGACGCCAACCTCGAGACTCTGGCCACCATTGAGACCCTCGACAACGGCAAGCCCTACTCCGTGTCTCGTGATTACGACGTCCCGCATTTTTCAGAGGTCATCCGCTACTATGCCGGCTATGCCGACAAGATTCACGGCCAGACCATGGACGTCGGCCCGGACAAGCTGGCGTACACCATCAAGGAGCCGCTCGGGGTGTGTGGCCAGATCATTCCCTGGAACTACCCTTTGTGCATGAGCGCGTGGAAGTTGGGGCCCGCGCTGAGTTGTGGTAACACCATTGTATTGAAGCTGGCCGAGCAGACGCCTCTCTCCATGTTGTACGTGGCCCAGCTGATCAAAGAGGCCGGCTTTCCTCCGGGCGTGGTCAACATTATCAACGGGTACGGCCGAGAAGCTGGCGCTACCCTTGCTAGCCACACGGGCGTCGACAAAGTCGCCTTCACCGGCAGTACGGCCACGAGTAGGGACATCATGAGGCTCGCCGCCGGTACTCTGAAGAACGTCACCCTCGAGACCGGTGGCAAATCGCCCCTGATCGTCTTCGACGACGCCGACCTCGACCAGGCTGCCAAGTGGTCTCACGAGGGTATCATGAGCAACCAGGGGCAAGTTTGCACGGCGACCTCGCGCATTCTGGTCCACGAAGCCGTCTACGAGTCCTTCATCGCAAAGTTCGCCGCCACCGTCCGCCATATCTCTGTCGTCGGCGACCCTTTTGATGAGGCCACCTACCAAGGCCCGCAGATCACACGCGCGCAGTACGATCGCGTCCTGGCCTTTGTCCAGTCAGCCAAGGATGAGGGGGCAACGATCGCTCTGGGCGGCGCCCCGGCCCCGCAGCCTTCCGGCAAAGGCTTCTTCGTGCAGCCGACTGTCTTTACGGATGTGACAACGTCGATGCGCGTCTATCGCGACGAGATCTTTGGGCCGTGCGCCGCCGTCGTGAAGTTCCGGACCGAGGAGGAGGCGCTGGAAATGGCCAACGACTCGGTGTACGGGCTGGGCGCCGCCGTGTTTACCAAGGACCTGGCGAGGGCGCACCGCGTTGCGAGAGAGGTCGAGGCCGGCATGGTTTGGGTAAACAGCAGCAACGATTCGGACTTTAGGGTGCCGTTTGGAGGGGTGAAGCAGAGTGGCATCGGGAGAGAACTGGGAGAGGCCGGGCTGTTGGGGTACTGTAACGTGAAAGCGGTGCATGTCAACTTGACGAGCGGGTAGCTCCTTCACCCTTTGCTCGGTAATTACTTGCACTTGATATCAAGCGCCGACGTCCCGTAGGCGGCGGAGCTCAACTCAAGCCTGATAGTCGTGACTACTGCGGTTCAAGTCTCCCTCTCGAAACCCAACTGCATCTCAGCCGTCCTTTATAAACAAAACTTTCGTACCTACATATTCCTCTGGTCTTTCGTTGCCTCCCATAACATCGTCCCTCACTCACTTCACCTCCGCAACCACTTCTTCATTCACACTTGGACGGACCTGAGAACCCAGTGGTTTTACGTTTCTCAATTGAACCTCAATAGCAGGAGCTTTCCGAGCGTTCCTTCCGCTCGATAGCCTCGTCGCCAGGCCACGCAAGATCGACCCTTGAATCCCTCGCCTCATCTTCTCGCCAACATCAAGCCATCAACACCCAACTATCAAAAATCACACTCTGGAATCTTCAGCGGCAAATCAGGCTCCGCCGAGATGGAGAACACCACGGCTGCCGTCGTAACGCCCCCTAGCACCACATCTCCCGCCCCCGAGTCCCACACCGTCAGGCCTGCGGCTCTCCGCGCCTACAAGCAGCGGCTCATCGAGCGCATTCCCGCCCCCGTCTCGGACGACTACCGCAGGATGCTCGTCGACACCATCGAGGCGCAGGTCGATATGCCGAGCCTCGACTGCGGGCTCCGCTGGGCCGTTGAGGCCGCCTACCACAACGGCATCGAGCCCCCGTCCCACGAAGTCGTCGCCCTTTGCCTGTGCTTCGGCTCGGGTGCTCTCGAGGGCGACGTCCTCCGCGTCCAGCGCAGCTTCTACGCCCGGCAGCCGGGTCTCGCCTACCACATCCGGGACTGGTCCCTACGGGGCCTCGCCGACAAGCACAGCACCAAGGTCTGCGCCGGCGACATCGACGCCCCCCCGACCACCGCCCCCGCTCGACGAAAAAAGCGTCCGGCCTCCGCCTTCGAAGACCTCTCCCCGCCCCCGAACGCCTGTCGCTCCGAGCCCCCTGTACACCCGTTCACAGTATACCACGAGAGCGATTATACCCCGCGCCTCAACTCCCTCGTCAAGAGCCATCAGGCCGAGCCCAAGAAGCCCGCAACCCTCGGGGGCCCCGCGGTTCCCCAGGCTATCCTGGACCGCCTGCCCCCGTCCTTCATGGACCCCAGAATCGGCGGTTTCGCGCAGCTCAAGCAGCTGCGGAGCCCCGGCACCGACACGATCCAGGACACGATCCCCCTCTCGGGCCGTATGGGAGGCCCCGTGGTCTCCGCTTCCCTCTTCGGCGGCCCCCGTAGCACTGTGGGGCCCGTTCCTGTCGGCCTGGGATCACGCCTCTTCGGCGGCGACCCGGCGACCCGAGACACTAAGGAGGCGGCGGCAGCGGCCATCGCCGCCGAAACCGCCACTGCAAGCCCCAACGCCAGCGACACGCCCGACGCCGCCGCCGCCGCCGCCGCCGAGACGCGCCTGGCCTCCCTCGCCGCGCAGATCACCGGGCACCGCCAGCGGGCCCGCGACAAACTCCAACACGCCGCCACCCTGCGCGAGGAGCACGCCAGAGCGGCCGAGCGGCAGCCGCTCGAGGTCGGCGCCCGCCCGGCGGACATCGTCACCCGCGTCAACGAGGACCACGGGCTCGCGAGCCGCTGCCTCCGGCACCAGGAGGAGGCCGTCGCCGCCGTCGCCGAGGCGGACCGCCTCGAGGGCGAGCGCGCCGAGGAGGTCTTCCGGCGCATCGAACGGCGCCTCGACCGCATCCACGCCGTCGTCGTCGGCACGGCCGACGCCTTGGCGGCCGAGCGGGCGGCGTGCGCGTCCTTTATGGCGCAGCAGGTCGATAGGATGGAGGCCTTGAAGGTTCGGAGGGAGAGGCGAGCGGGGGGAGAGCCAGGGTTAGATGGAAGGGGATGGGGATAAGATGGCTAGCTCTCTCGGAGACGATTTGGCATATCTATATCATCCAGAAACCTACCTGAAAAGAAAAGCAAAAAGTATATAAAAAAAAAAGAGAAGAAGTCATAGATTGATGATGATGGTGATTTGCGCCAACCTGGTGGTAGATTGCATCGCTCTTCTTCATACATGGGCTCTGCCCCTCCGCTGGAAGAGAGTCACGAACAAAAGGCCAGCCCACAGTCATGAAAGTCGAAGAAAAAAAAACAATTTTGCGGCTGATGATGCCAGTCGAATAGCTAAGCTGCTCCCTCCACGTCCGCGAGTTCGATGTAGACTATGGATTGATTAATAGCCTATCAAGGTCTTTGGCTCACCCGACAAGAACAAGCCAGCCAACTCCATAAAAAACAAGTGAGAAGACCACTAAAATAAAGATCATAAGACATAAAGATGGCAGGATGTTGTTTGCGAATCGAAATTTGTACTGTTGTGTTTGCCACGGCTCCCCGTCAACCCACAGCTCGCCTATGTGCTGCTTTTTTTTTGGCGGCATACCACCATAACGCGCTGCCCTGATCTGGCTGATGTCGCATGGCGGCGGGGTATCATGCCGGGTAGGGGGGCGAGCATAACACGAAGATCAGGGCAGAGTTTCGTCGTCCTACTGCTCGCAGACTAGCGGCACCGCAGAAGTTGTCGCAGTGGGCGGACCGGCAACAGCAGTCGACACTAACCAGGAACATTGGTGAGTTTACATCTCTGAAAGGGAAAAGACGGGTCAGCAAACAGAGGAAAAGAGAAGGGTGCAAGGGGAGCCGCTCTCGAACAGCATCACCCTCAATGGAGTACTCACAACAGGTACCGAAGCCAGACTGACAACCAGCACCGCAGAAATCAGTGGTGCTACCGCAGTAACCGTACTGGGAGCAGCAGTTGCCGAACTCCGAGCCGGTACAGATGGCATTGCCGGCTGAGGCACCGCAGGATCCGTCGAGCGACACCTTGGTGTTGCCGCCGACGTTGGTGCAAGTGCCGTAAGCAGACTGGCATCCGTTGCCACAATGTGCAGAGGAGGAACCGCACCATCCGTACGAGGAGCAGCAATTGCCAAAAGCAGAGCCGGAACACTGTTTTCCGTTGGCAGCTCCACAAGCGCCGTCCGTAGAGACGGGAAGAGTGGAAGATGGAGGCGCAGCAGAGGCGGAAGTAGACTGCGTGCTAGTGCCGGAGGAGGCAGCAGCAGCACTAGGAGGGGAAGAAGTTCCTGAAGAGCTCGTGTCAGACGACAACGACGACGAAGCCGACAAAGCAGACTGCGTGGCAGGGCTGGGGGAGGCAGCAGCACTGGGAGAGGAAGAAGTTCTCGAAGCCGACGAGGCCGGCGAAGGAGAGCGTGTGTAGGAGCTTGACCGAGTGGTCGAGCCGTTGGACTGAGCGCTGACGCTGTTGCGCGAGCTGGTCCTGCTGCTGGACGAACTGGTCCTGCCGCCAGCGCTGGTGGTCCGCGAGGCAGAAGGGGATGAAGTAATGCTGCTGCTTCTGCTGCTGCTGCTGCCACGGCCAGATGATGAAGAGGAGGAGGTCCTACCTGTGCTCGCCCCGATCGACGAAGACTGACCCCCACATGTGCCGTACTTGGACTGGCAGCCTGTACCGCAGTAGGCGGAAGTGCTGCCGCACCATCCGTTCACAGAACAACAGTTGCCAAAGGAGGAGCCCTGGCAGGTCTTTCCGGCGGCGGCACCACAAGTGGCATCAAGCGATACGGGCAGAGCGGTGGAGGTTGGCGCGGCGGAGTTTGACGCGGCGGAGGGGGCCTTGGAGGTGGAGGCGGCCTTGGAGGTGGAGGCGGCCTTGGAGGTGGCCGGGCTCGTACTGGTGCAGGCCTTGGGGCTGACGGCACTGATCTTGAAGTTGTATGCGGGAACGTTGCCGCGGTACCAGTTGGCCGGGGGGTCGCCCAGGCACTCGCCGACAGTCACGGCCCTCCAGCCGTTGGCGACAATGGAGTCGAGCATATGGTTGGTGAAGGTGGTAGCAACCTGCTCGTGGATGTCGTGCTCAATGTGCAGGTAACTGGCGTTGCAAGACGATCGCGCAGTCATGGCCGCATCCCAGATGCCTACACTGACTTGGATTTGACTGGGATCGGTGTGGAGATAGCCCTCGGTGTCGAGGTCGAAATAGGTGATGTGGTAGCCAAGGTCCACCATCAGCTTCTGGCAATCAGTTCCGCAAATGGAGTAGGGCGGACGCATATAGGTAGGGTAGAAGCCAAGAATGTCCTTCAAGGCAATCTCGTTATAGATCATCTGGTTCTTACGCTGCGTTGCCGTCATCTGGTCGAGGTTCTCGTGCGACCAAGTGTGGCTAGCAACTTGATGGCCCTCGGCAACCATGCGCTAGAATAGTTAGGCCCGTGTCCTGGTGAACGCATTGAGGCGGGAGAGCTAACCTTGATGAGATCGCGGTACTTCACATTGATCTGACCCTTGCCGATGTTGTTGCCGGTGATGAAGAAGGTGGCGACGGCGCCATGAGCTTTGAATGCGTCTAACATGGCTGCGGTATAGATGTAAGGACCATCATCATATGTGACGGCAATATCGCCGTCCTTTTCACAAGAATAGATGCCCACGCCACCGTAAGGAACGTTGCCCTTCCGAGTTCTCGTGTCCTTGGATGTATCGGAGCCGCTGGGCTTCTGGTTGCCATCACAGGCTGGACCGTAGTTGATCTGACAGTCAGGCGAACTGCAGTAGTCTGGCCCCTGTCCGCACCACCTGCGCGGTATTAGTCGATTGCCCCCGGCGAGGAGAAAAAGATGAAGCCACGTACCCTTCAGCCGAACAGCAGAATCCGTTTGCACACCTTCCAAAGTTTCCTCCACACTGATCGTTGTCTCCAACTGGGACGGTGGTAGAGACCTGACGGGAATCCAAATGGTTCCTGGGGTGGTTTTGAGGCTTGTTAGCCACGGAGGGGGGGTTCCAAGGCTCAAATGCCGCGCGCCTCTGCCTCAACTCTTGCTTGTCCCTCAGACGCGGCAACACTATGTTGGGGTGCGGCACGTTTCCGTGAGCATGAGCTGCCTCTAGCCCTGCAACGACGGCGAGCAGCACCGGGGACCAACGCATCGTGATGGTGTTGGAGATGTGCAGTCTCAGTCGATTAGGTGGAGGTAGCTCCGGCCGGAAGAGGGTTCCAAAGAAAGGCTGTGCAACGACTCAGCAGACCAAGAATATAACGACGGACGGGGCTTCTTTTTTTATGGTCTTAAAAATCGCACTGATGAAAAAACAAAACCCCGAATTGGAGTTTCTCCATGGTGCGAACTGCCATGTTATATACGTAGTAATGGCGACGGCTGTATTGATGTCGGCCACGAGGCCGGTCTCCTAGACGAAGATGGGCGACGGTAGACAAGAGCCATACCCGCTAGCCTCAGTCGGGAGGACCGAGCTGTTCAACACAAGAAAATAGGAGGATCAGGAGCTTACCTTGCGTAGGGTGCCCGGGGTCACGTAGCGAGGGTAGCGCCGATGCTTCAAGCTGATGCGGTCTAAATTGGCCTGCGTAGAGCGAGGCCATCATCAGATGGGCATGACATGAGGGTCTTGGCCCTGTCTGCCCCTGGATATCGCCAAGAAGGAGCCATCGGACCGGAGATGGGACGGCAGGCCTGGAAATGATACAAAAAACCGACCATGGAGAGGGTGTGGAGTAACGAAGGGCACAAAGGGCCGGCAACGGGGAGAAACATGTAAACACGAGAGATGATCAATGGCCAAGGCGGGCTAGGCAGCAAGCCATGGTGAGTTACGACGGTGAAGGACCGTTCGCCAAGATGGGACGGGAGAGACTAGTCAGGAGGGACACACTGACGAGTCCCGAGAGGCTCGAGTGATGGAAGAGACCAGGCCAAGACGCATCTTTCGACGCCGCTCGTTCGACGCCGCTTCGCGTAAATCAAGAAGAAGACTGCAGTCTGCAGCGGACGATGTAAGACAGAGGCGGGCCGGTGCCAGCAACGCTGCTGAAGGGCGTTTACCGCAGCGTTGTTTGATTTAGGTACCGGAAGTTATCATTCTGAGGGGAGAAGGGTCGGGATCGGTAGGTGCCCCAAGGTACTCCGTAGCAAGTACGGATACTGTATTGTGTATGCATGTATGGGCCCGTGTGATTGATGTCGAAGGTACGGGTACCTGGGTAGGCGGAGAGAATAAATAGAATTAGGACGCAGATGGTTGGCACGCCAGTCAACCCCAACACGTCCCCCCCCCGTTCCCGACCGTGGTCCTGGGTCCATCCAGTACGGTAGCCTGTAGGCAATACCTAGGTGCTATATCCGTACCGGTAGGTACACTAGGTAATCATTGCTATTGCTCGCGTGGAAGTGGGGGGGACCGCCCCCCC